CTGTGGCAAAGATTATTTGCTCACTGAAAATTCCAGCTAAAGAGGAAGCTCTATGGTTCAATCCACTTTTGCTTAAAAAAAAATTCTGAATTGGTGGTGGTGACCTTGAGTACTCTGTAAGACTTGGAATTTTAAAAATAGTTTGGAGTCTATGTGTGGTCACAAAAACCAATAAAGATATCTTTAGATATCAAAATGGAGAGGAGCACGGAGACACAGATTTGCTGCTCAAAGAGGTAGTTAGAGGAAAACGTGCTCCATCCACTCAGGTGCTTACAAAGTGATGTTATGTCATGTGTTCCATGATGGTGATGATTGGAGCAGAGTTACCTTGGCTGGTATGGACTTCACAGAACAGAGTAAAGTCAGTTAAGTCGTGCCAGCCACGCTACCCTAGACCAGGTAGCCCGCAGCCAACCTATCAGCTAACTGGAGGTGCACCAGAAAGCCAAGAAAAAAGGAAATGCCCATCTGAGCCCAGCCTAAATCATTCACTCATAAAATCATGACCTAAATAAGTGATTTTAAGTGACTACGTTTTGGGGTTGTTTGTTAGACAGCAAAAACTAACTGACTTCCCAGCTTGCAGCAGTGTGGTATAGTAAATGAGCATAGGCTTTGGTGTCAGACAGACCTGGGTTCAAATCCTGTCTTTGTTGATTATGATCTTTGTGGTCCTGGAGAGTCACTTCATCTAATTCATTGCTGAAACCAGCATAGCAATTTCCACACATAGGTTGTGAGGGGTAAATAAGATCATTCGTATAAAGCTAGAAACCTAGCACTTAGTGCATAAGAGATGCTCTATAACTGAGGTTCTAGCTAAGAACCAAGGTGATTCCTTTTTAAAGTTCAAGGTGTAGGAGGTGCCACCTTTCTTGGAAGCAAATCTTCTGTCACTCATTATGTGTAATTTGCTTTCATTTTTCAGAGGAAGCATTCTTTAAACCATATCTTGACTTTTTCATTACCAGTAACTTCCATTTGCCTTCTTCAACTTCTGTTTTCCTAAAAACGAAGATAAATAGTGTCTGTTCCTGCAAGACATTTGATTGATGTTCTTCTGCACTAGAGCTGTCTAGAGGTCTGAGGCACCAAGCTCTGTAAACATGAGGGAATACAATGAATGCCACCCATGCCTTTAAACAAAAGTTACCATGCTGCCAAGTTCTGTGGAATTATATAATTATCAGTTTTGCTTTGTTAGATAATTGTGCTTTTTCAATGCTTTCCTGAAAATAGCTTTAAAAAAGTCTACATTTTATACCTTCTCTGAAATGTAGGGATAATTTGAGGGGTTTTTTTGGTCCAATTTTCTTCTTCTAAAATGCTGCAAGAAATGACATTCTTAACCATGAACCAGAACAAAGTTAGGGCATTTTTTTTCATACTTATTCTCTGACAGAGATGAGCCTGTTTCATTTCCCTGAGTCTCATGGTCTCCACCCACTCCCTGTGTAAGTGGGATGGTCTGAAGATTCATGGAACACTTGCAAAATTCTTGAAATTTCAAACTGGGAAGGTTCTATTCAAGTGTGAAAAACAAAGGCAGGGACTACATGCAAGACAGTGGATATCCAGACACAGCCACGGATGCCCTGCTTTCATACTGCAAAAATAGCTATGCTGCCGTTGTTTATTGTTTTTA